TGAAGGATTTCTTATCTTATTTTCTCATCACAAAATAATTGTTTTTTTAGAGGGTAGGCTGGAATGGATTAATGGCATTTCCATTCTTTTCAAAAGGGAAAGAATATTTGAGTTATAACCATAGTCATGGCATGAATTAAACTCAGATCTCAAGGCACCACTGCACACATATATCCACAAGTGTGGCCTGAAATAGAATTGCCTTGGCATACTGAGTTATAAAGATGCCAATTTAACCATTTATTTAATCTTTAATAAATCACTGGCAACAATTACATGAACAGTAAATATTTTGAAATTCTGATGAAGGCATTTCTCTGATTAAAGTGTGATATTAAAAGCCTTTTCTAATTACCTCAATCACATTACCAAAGTTAGAGTGAATACAGTTAAATCAAGACATCCAGTTTCTCTTGGGTTTCAATTTTTTGTAAACATGCACACTACACACTTTAATTGCACTTTGATATCCAAGATGGCAGTACAGTACAGCGTTATAGTACATACAGGTGTCCTGGTCCCATTCTTCTGGGTTGGTGTTTGTTGTAGTGTACTACAAGACGTGTCCTAACGTCAGAAAATGAAAAGATAAGATTAATGGGTAATGAATGATAACGCATTTTAAGGTACAGAATGAAACTTTTATGTTCTGCATTTCAAGACAAATAAATGGTTGCCCTACCCCCCAAAAAAAAATGGCATGGTATCAGTCTGAGTCAATACACAGACTGTACTCTACACTTGTTTAAATGTTAATATAATGCAAAAATAAGTACTAAGTATGCTAATGTCATAATTTTTCATATGCTTTGGAAATAGACTTCTGTTCATGAAAATTGAGCGTCATGTTTTTCTGTGCACAATTATGTTGAAGATGTTCAAAAAGTAATGTGTTTATAGTGCACATCTAGTTAAATCTGAATCCAATTTCAAGGTACAAAATATTAAAATACAGGAACAAGAATTCTCAAGAATTTGTCTTTACTTCCCTTCCTCTTCTTTTTGCTTGTGGGGCACAAATAATTCAGGCCATAAGTATTTAGAATTACAGAGGAATTTTTGTTTTTGCAAAACTAATAGACATAATATGAAGCAATGGATAAATGTGACTTTTGGCTTCTCCAATCAGGTCACTCACCACAGTTGAGTCACTCGCATGATTTATTTGGCATAGTTTTTATGCCGGGCGCCCTTCCTGATGCAAAGGCAGCCATTTTTATTCATCAGTGGCTGGGTGTTGGGACACTGCCCAGGAATCAACTGTGACGTTAATGTAAATAAACAGAGAGGGCTTACACCAAATTGCAAACTTCTACAGGAAAAAGAAGTTTATGCTAAGAATCTAAAAAGCCTTCCATGTTACAGAATCCAATCCATGGTTATCAGTGGCGGGCCGTGCATTTCAACCTTAGGCCTTCAGTGACGTCACATACATACACAATACAGGCTCGTCAAGCAGCACTTAATTTCAGGAGCATTTAAAACCATCAAGTATGTATTCCCAATTAAGAGCAGGAAACTAAATTTGCAGATATTGTCAAAAGTAAAAAGATAATTTAAAAATACGAAATAAAATGCCACCCAAATTATGCTGTGTGATCTTAAACAAGTCTGTCCAATAAATTGCCCAATGTCGCAGTTTCATATAAGACACCAACCAAACAATAACAAAACAAACTATTCTTTGAAAATAAACAGATCATTTGCATTTTGAAAATCGGCGATACAACAGCAAATAACTGAAAATGTTGAGCAGCTGAGATTGA